GCATTATTTGCTTGCTCATATTATCAGTTGACATCTTGTTTTTTGGCCTGACTTCGTAACTGCAATGCCCTGACTTTTCTAATTTCAAATGTGGCCTCGTGGATTCAGTAACCCACATAATGTGTAGCAGTCCCGATCAATATCAGTTTTTTTTTTTTTAAAAAAAAAAAAAAAAGAAAAAAAAAAACATTACACATACCTGTACACGCACACAAACTTTACACGCACACAAACTTTTTCAACACTAAAAATGGTATCGCGAAGGAACAACAACAGAAAAAGTGCCCATATTACTAATAAAAGCTGTCGTTCATGGAGTGCCAGGGAAAAACTCATGGTTATCAGTTATTATGAGAATGTTAAAAACGTGAGAGCAACCACAAGATGATTTGAAATCGAGCCAAAACAAGTTCGTGAGTGGCTAGACAAAAAATATGAACTTATGAGTGCCGATCTTTACCTTTTAACGCTTAACTCTGGTCACCGGGCCCAGTTCCTATTATTAGAAGAAAGACTTGTTAAGTGGATTAATGAACATCGCAATGAGCAGTATGCTGTTATCCAAAATATGGTTGTAAGAAAGGCCAAAACATTAGCCGAAACTAATGAATTTAAAAATACATACCCTGATATTGGCAGCTTCAAATTTTCTAAAAGCTGGTTGTGTCAGTTCTTGTACCGCCATAATTTTTCAAATCGTAGATGTACGACGGTTTCCCAGCACCTCCCAGCCAACCCTGAGGAAAAACAAAGTGAATTCTTAAGTTTCATTTTGTTTAAACGCCGGGAATATGACTTTCCTCTTAGGTATATTGAAAATATAGACGAAATGCCTTTGTCATTCGATATGCCTAGCTCTGTTACTATTGAAAAATGCAGATCTAAGACAGTAGGTATCAGAACCACCGGGCACAAAAGAACAAATTTTACTATAATTCTTGGGTGTCTTGCCGATGGCATGAAACTTCTGCCTGTATGCATTTTTAAACTGAAGACTGTCTCTCGTAAAGTGTTTCTCCAGGGTGTTATTATAAGAGTAAATGAAAAAGGATGGTGTAATGAGAATGAGATGCATTTTTGGATCAATAATGTTTGGAGCAGATGCAGTGAGCTGGTAAAACTGCAGTCCCTTCTCATTTTGGATTCCTTTAGGGGTCATATAGTAGATTCTGTTAAATACTAATTCAAAGAAAATAACACCCACCTTGCAGTCATTCCCGGAGGATTGACCAGTAGGCTACAGCCTCTAGATGTCGCCGTGAATAAGAGTTTCAAGAGTAAGGTACATACATCAAGATGCCTTGATCTGTTTTGAGTTACAAAAATATTAACATATTTAATTTTTTAGATACGACATCGCTATGAAGAATGGATAGCTAACACGATTCATCAATTGACGCCGGCTGGATGTTTACGAAAGCCATCGTATGCTACTCTTGCACAATAGGTAATAGATTCGTGGGATGAGGTTGACCCTCGCTTAATCGTAAATTCATTCAAGTGTTGTGGTGTTTCAGTCAAGATGGATGGGATGGAAAACGATTTGGTCTTTGACTATGAATTGTTGAGTGAGAATCTGGCAGATGAAAACGATGTGAATTCCAAAGTAGTGGGTCTTGATATTAATAGTGAAGAATACGAAGAAGTTGATAGCATTAATAATGTTTGGAAATAATTACAGAATTTTAGATTCTTTGTTAGATTTTGTTTTAGATTTTTTTTTGTCAGATTTTTAGATTTTTTTTTGTTTTTGCTTTGTTGCATTTATCGATTTTAGATAATAAAGTTTGAGCATTTTATAATTGAATCGAGTCTCAGATTGTTCTCAATCGAATTTGGGTAAAGTTAATAAAATTGAAATTATAATTGGGTTGCAAAAAAGCTTTTTTTTTAAAAAAAAAAATTAAAGATATTAATTTTTGTGCTGTTTTTATCTTGAAATTTGATTGGCTTTAATTTTTGTTTTTATATAGAAACACTAGGTAGGATACAAGTCACGGAGGAGTACACAAGCCGGGGGTCACCATAACTAATACCCGGGTATAAATCACAATTTGGCCTCTGAAATCACTACAGGGTACAGCTTACAGGGGGTATACATGTCAGAGAAATACGGTATAATTTGATTATTACAAACTTATACAAATTGCAAAATTTAAATAAATTAGGTTGGTCTATAAATTAAAATTAAAAATTACTAAAGATTAGAATTACAAAAAATTATATAGTAAATTAATTATACTATTTAACTATAATTTAAAGCTTATTAGTTCAAAAAATTACCAAAACTTAGATATAGTTCTAAAATTATATCAGGAAATTTTTTTTGAAGATTTGTATCGATTGCTACTAGTAGAGATGATTGTAATTGATTTTTTTATATGATATATATCAATTATTGGTTATATATTGATATATATCCCTAATGATATATATTTATTATAATTATATATCAATATATATCACTAACAATATATATCAATTATAGTTATATATCAATATATATTACTAACAATACATATTGATTATTATAAAATTTGTTAAATTTTATCAAACTTTGATATAGATTTTCTTAATAACTATCAATTGAAATTGGTTAAAATTTTTATTGTAAATAGTATTGGTATTCAACTATAATATATAAAAATTTTAGTTAATTATAATTACTAGTTCACAAATAATTACTTTTATACGATAGTTAATTTTTTTAAAAAATTAACTATCATATACAATTGATTACTTGTAAACCAGTAATTATAATTGGCTAAAATTTTTATATGTTATAGTTAAATATCAATATTATCTACAGTAAAAATTTTTAACCAATTTTAATTGATAGTTATCAAGAAAATCTATATCAAAGTTTGATAAAATTTAACAAATTTTTGCTATATAGCATTATTTATTTACTATCGATTATACTTAGCAGGGGTGATGTATATTGATTATAATCTAGGGGATTATAATTAATATATATCCTAAAAAAATTTCCTGATGTATATACAAATTACTCTTATTATAGTAAACCCTTATTATAGTAAATCTTAGTTATAGTGAAGAATAGGTTATATAAAATTTTTTATTATAGTAAATTTACTAATAAACTCTTGATAAAGTAAAATAATCTTTTAACATACTCACTTTACTATAATAAAAATAACTTATATTTTTTATATACAAAATTTTAAATATATATAAATTGATATTGATATTTAAATTTAAAACTAGATAATATATATTTAGTAATTTTTTATTTTGTTGGTTAGCTTACAGGCTAACCAATAAGTTAACTAATAGGTACTTATAGGTTAACACACTTGAGTTGTAATAATTCAACCTAGGTAACCTATCTATCTGCAAATAATCTAAGTAATGCTTACTTATCAAAACACTACCTATAATTAGATAGTAAATATTATATTCATAAAATTACTATCTAAGTAACCTATTCACAAATAACTAGATTTAGATTTCAGGATGAATACTACCTCTAGCATAGGCTTTTATCTAACCCTATTATTTAAATTTATCTTAATACAAGTTTTTAATTTGATATACAACACATACATAATTATATTGAAGATTTTGTTATAGAAAATGCTTTTTTATCAACAATTTAAAATTTGCTACATTTGGTCTATTATAAGCCAATAATATACTTAAATTTGTATAGACTTAAAGTTTTGACAGCAAAATATTAAAAAAAATCCTAATAGATTAACAATAAAGTTCATTTAAATCGTTAGATAAAAACCTTAGATTTATTTACATAAATAATAATAATATATAGATAAGCACTTCTAAAGCAATTAAGATCAAAGGCTAAAGCCTAGTTTTCTTTTAATACAATACACGTTACTTTGGATATATCACAATTTTTTCATTAGTAAAAAAAATTCAAAATGTCGATATAGTGAGTTATACCGACATTTTATTTTAGTTATATCCAGATGTCGGTATAACCAGAGTGACGTGTGCTAGACAGTAAAACACATCCGATGTTTATTAATACAACTTTGAAGTGTTATAACATTTTTAAAACAAGATAAATCAAAAAACTTCCGAACAAATTGGTAGAATTTTAAATAAACTACATTTCTGTTAGAGAATTTTTTATTCTTTGTTTTGAAAAAGTTATAAAGGATTAAAGTTTATATAAATTCAAAAAAATTGTTTAATAATAGATTTTTAATCAGAATCAATTATACAAAATTAGTCAATCAGGATTGATTATATAAGCACCAAAAATTGTCGCCTATATGTATAGATTGGATGTCTTTTACTGTCCCGTACTATAGTACTAACAAAAGTTATCGCTTGTTTATTGCTTTGTACATTTTTTTATATAAGCCACATTCTGTACTTAATAGTTACGTGCAAAATATTTTGATTCGCCAACATGGCTCAGTCTTTTCCAAAGTCTTAGAACATTTGCTCTCCAAATTTTGACTTTCTCCAGAGGTTTCACCTTTACTAGGGATTTCGCCAGGGTTTTGCTGTTTTTGTTTTTCGCCATTTGCCAAAAATGAGTTCGCCCAGTAACCGTACCTGAAACCCGCTGGTGGCTATTATTCACTAGCAATCAAGAGAATCACTCAATTCAATTAGTAAATCACTAATTTTTTAAGAAAAACTTCATTACACAACCTGATCAAAAGTCTTTTTTTCGTTACGCATTTGGGAATATTCTCATGATCTAAATAATTTTTCAATGGAGTCAAGCAGTTTCTTAATAACGGGACAGTCATTTTCTTTATTGCACACTCTCTTTTTGCATTATATAACCATAAATAAATTAGCCCGATCAATACTTTTTAAAAATGCGATAATTAAATAGAAATTTTGCAATCTATTCACATCTAAAAACCTTAATATCTTTCATAGAAAGTAGTTATCTAAATTTATCGTGATAATTTTGCTGGGAATAAATTAGTTCCAATCCATTATCCATTTATATTATCCAAATAATCCAGATCGAATAAACAGATATAAGATATCCGAATAATCTGATAATTATTCGAATAAAATGTAAACTCATACGTAGGACGAAATTCGTCTGATTGGTTAATTTTTGTCGATCGGCCCGTGATTTCCCATGATGATTAACCAATCAAATTACATAATTTTTAAAAAATTGAATGATTAAATACTACAAGAAACGACAAAAAAAATCCATAAAGAAATTTGCCAACTAATAAATACACGCAAAAGAATCAATCACACATATTTAGAGAATAGATAGTACACATAGAGTGAGACAAATTTAATACTTATTACTAAAAAAACCCCAAACTCATTAAAGAATCTACAAAATATGATATAATCTAAAAATTTTCACTTAATAATCCCAAACCATACTAAAAGAACCGACCAGATTTAGACATTAAACCCGCGTCTTTTTACTGCTAAAGAATTTATGCCTATTCAAATCAAACAAAGTTTATTTTAAATATAACATAATAAAGTTCTTAAAGAAACTTGTTGTTTTGAAAAAGTACTTTAAAATTACCTTCAAATTTTTTTTTTCTGACATTTCAAAAATCGCTAATAAACTAACACTACTTAAATTAGAGATTATTTTTAAAGGCAGCCTTTTGACATTCAAGAGAAATGATTTATGCGAAATTTTTCGTATTTTTTAGTGTGACACTTGTGACACTTAAGTTCTAAAAAAGTACAAATGAGTTGCAAGGGTACATCAGCTAATCAAACGAATTCGTTCTGTGAAAAGTAAACGGATAACCGAATAAATTCAAATCCATTTATTAAGGGTTACGAAAAGCCAATAAGTTTCTATTTTGTGTACGAAGATCATCATTATGACTCCTGCCAAGCATCACACAGACTAAATAAATAAGGATATTAAAATAACGATAGAAACAAAATTTTGGTACACATA